TTACTTGGACCAAAACTCAAATCCGGAAGCACCTGAAATCAGAAAATTTTCATACAAATTGAATTGGTGAAAAAGGAACCCTGGCAGATGACGAAAGAAAACAAAGAGCACAGATCTGAGGCTAGAAAGCAAAGTTGTCTGTCAAACTTTGAACTTCGCAAAGTTTTTGAAACAGTTACTCTGGAATTTGAGGATGTCTTTTGAAGTATTATAATGACACTTTTCGGATCGGTGCTGCACATGGTGCATCACGTGACTATGGAATGTTTTTATCCACTTATGTCGGAGGTTTTGTCACAATCTGAAAGTGTTAGGATCCTGTTTACATAACACATCGCATGCGAAGCCGCACAGGGCGGTGAAGAATTTTTTATGGCAATCAAAAGTTAAACAAGGAAGAACCTAGGCCAAGACGAGTCTCCCACCACTAGGGACAGCACAGCCATGTGGGTGCTCAGCAAAAAAAAGTCTTGCGCTTCAAGCGGAGCGCGTCAATTCTCCTACAGACAGTGCAGAAACCTGTATTGCACCGGGCGAGGAGAACACAGTCGACGAGACGAAAGTGAAAATAGGCCGACACGGGGCGTGGCGAGCACGTCTTGCGTTGCTTGCGTCGTCCGCAACCAGTCGTGAACAGTCAGCTCATCCTGGATATCATCTATCAGCTACGCTGTAAGGACAGCTAGCCTATACACATCGACTACATTTCTACGTGGATTACTGTATTCTTACTGTATCTGATCTACTGAAGCAGACAAAATGACGATCGAAAAGCGACAACGAGTTATGCTTGTGCTATGCCTGATATTTGGCATATGGCATATGGGCACACAATGGACAACGACTTTATTGTCTTTTCTACAATGGGATACTGTTGAAGTGATGACTATAGTTGATCTAGGCTATATTCAAGCATTTGGCAGTGTTTGTAATGCTATTGGAGCTTTAGCTTTCGGACAGGTAAAAATTCACTCCCTTAAACTCCTCAAATTCCTCCTTTCATTTCCTCGTTTTATTCTAGATGGCAGATACTGCCGGTCCTAAAGCTATGTTTATGTTGTCTTGCCTTTTCACTGCCATTTATTATTCGGGAATTTCTATTGCCAAGTCATGGTATGGATTTTTCTTCCTCCAGGTTTGTTGACAAAATTTT